GGAGATTATGCTGCTCAGTTCGGATGAAGTTTAGGACTCGGACCAAGAAGTTGCAGTGACAAGTAGATTTGCAGTTCAAGCTGCAATACGTTTAATACGATATCGGGTACAGCCTGACTTTCATGGCATGAGAACAAAACTGAACACTGTCCTATCTTACTTAATTTATACCTGAAAACCTGAACGTTATACAATGGTGATCTATGTTAATGTCCTGTCTAATGAGTACAATTAGATCAGAATGTAATTATACTGAACCATAATACATGTTTTCCACTAGTCCTTCACAGCATTCTCTTAATGTATGCCCATGGTGAAAGGTAATTATACTCCTACAAATTCTCTGACTGTATACTAAGGACATTATTAACATCTGTCACAAGCTGACATCTTATACCATAACACACAGAGAAAGGAACACTTTCAGACTGAAGAATACAGTATAAAAAGATATGATTATTATGACGGCAATAAGTATATTGGAATATTTTGTTATCAAAATATAAGTAGGTCAGATAAAACCACCTTTTATTATCAATCTGAATTTAGAGGGAACACAGCCTATGACATTTTAGAGGGCTTTAATTTTGAAATTCCACATCATAATGTCCTCATACTGTCTGAGTGACACTCTAAGGCTGCTAACATTCTGAAGTGAAACTGGTCTGTGGAAACAGGAAGTTTCTCAATGACACTCTGAGGTGGTGCATTGTCATTTTGAAGTCAGATTAGTCTTTTGAAATGTATTCTTTATTATTTAGTTTCACTAATGATTCACACAATTTAAATGACAAAGCCTACATTTTCTCTGAAATACAATTTGCAGGCAGCAGTTACTATTATTTTTTATTGTTTTATGGTATCTATGATTTAATATTTATTCATTTTGTTTTATTTTATGTATTTATTGTTGACAGACTGACTGATTTATTAAAAGAATGTGAAATCACGTTAACTATCACGTTCATCAGAATGTTTTTATTTTTAAATCAGTTCTTACATGCTCTTACCATAATGCCAGTATATAAACAAGGTGGTGGCTAGTTTGACTGGTTTTTGAAGTGGAGGTAGGCTTGACTGCAGTGTATGACGTGTCCCTAAGTAATGCGCATCGGGGACGGTCTCTGATTTATCGTTCACTTTTGCCATTGTATTTGTAAATGTTTCCCTGACTTAAGTGACACTGGGGATCTAATAACTGCTCGCTCTCTCTGCTCGCCATTCTCTACCTTACTGCAGTATTTCATAGGTTTCATGGTATTTGCCAACTTTACTGTGGTCTCTAACTTTATGTTCTCTACTGACCAGCGATCACCCAGCGCCACAATCACGGACATTATTGATAGTTGTCATTGATACTGGCTGTGTATATAACACAAGTATAACACAGTCCAGCTAATATAAAGTATCACTTATAATAATTGTATGGCAGTGACTCCAAAATGTGCTAAAAAACTGTGTCTATTTTTCCTCTGCCGTACTGTATTTTTATTTTAATGGCCTGAACCGTACACGTTTGTGCACCGAACCATGCATGTCATCCCATACGGTATGGTGATTTAACAGGCACCGATACACCGAAATAAGCCGATGGCTCAGCTGTTAATGACGTCATGTGTCATTATTCACTTTGGACTAAGCTGCACACTCAACCGAAATGTACCGATGGCTCGGCTATAAATGACATTGATTATCACTATTCTATGGGACCAAGCGCATAATCACCCAAAACTTGCCAATGGCTCGGCAGTTTGTGACATTGATAATCACTAAAAGGAGTGCACCACAAGTAGGGAAATTCGGTGATCAGTTGATGGAAAGCGAGTGATACTTATTAACAAATAGTAAATACAACCATTCACCTTTTGGGGGAAACCCACAGTCTGTTACTCCCATCTCCACGCAAACCAATCACTATGCCACCCATTGCACTTCTTCTCAAGGTTTTGAGAAGATAATTAGGGGATGTTTTCCTTGCCCTTTAAAGGGCTTATGGTTAGGGGATGTCAAAATGTGGCCCAATGTGGGGCGCCCGGATAGCTCAGTGGGTAGAGCTGGCGACCCATGTACCGAGGCTGAGTCCTTGCTGCAGCGGCCCGGGGTCGAATCTGACCTGCGGCCATTTGCTGCGTGTCATCCCCTCTCTCTCTCTGCCCCCATTTTCTGTCTATCTTCAGCTGTCCTATAATAAAGGCAATAAAAGATTTATTTAAAAAAAAGATTTAAAAATATTTTTTTTAAAAATAAAAAATGTGGCCCACTGTGATTAAGGGCTTTACAAACTAATCGACTTGACTGGAATATCATGTTGCTTGCAGCCAAAAATGTGTTGCCCTGGCTACTAATAAATATGGTAACTTTAAACAAAGGTGTTCTACCTGAAGTAAGAATGTAGTTTAAGAACCTTGAATAAAAGCTTTGAGAAGTCTCTGTCAGGAAAACAAACTGCTTTTCACATTTTATTTGAAATGTTTTACCTTTTGCAGATATTTAACTTATTGCCAGTCCAGACAACAAGCGGCTATCCATATGAAGTCAATGATCCTGACACTTGTTTGCAAGTGAGACCCAAAAGATATGTCCTGCCATACCCAGGGCATGAAGACAGAAATGCCTACTCAGTATTTGAGGTGCTTGTTTATTCACATACATTTAAGCAAGTTTTGGAGTGCAACCTAAAAGGCAGAATATTTAAAAATGTGTATGTTATTTGTTCATCTAGAGAGTGGGGCTGAAGATGTTCACAAATTTGGTTCTCAAATCACCTTCCTGTCTCACGTACCATGGAAGAAACTACCACCATCAACCACATTGTGAGAATTGTTTCCAGAACTCTCTTCTGTTTTCCTGTGAAGCATATTGATGAATCACTAATCAGGATATCTATAATTATTCAGGGTTAACCCTGTACCCTCAACAGTACCCTCTTCAGGTTTCAGTTAAATAACATACACTTTCCCCTTTTTTACTTTGGTTAGATGTTATGTATGACAGTTACCCAATGGCAGTTGAGATGAACAGAAATGTTGGAATGGCCAGTTCCCCTGGCAATGCCGGTCCCAGCACTCCTCCAATCATAGAGACTGTCCGCACTTTCTTCCCTGAAACATGGTTGTGGGACCTGGTGGAAGTGGGGTGAGCTCTTTTTGTACACCAGTACTTTCAGAATGCATCTTCTGTAAAAAGCATATGACGGATTTTCAAGTTAAAAAAGGTAATGGAGTAGAAATTAAGCAGTAGAGAGTTGTATGTAATAGATTTGTTGTAAAAGAAACATGTTTTCCTAATTTGTTAATTATCACTCTCTCGCTGTCTCTCTTTCTCTTTCTCACGCTCTTTCTTCCTCCCCCCCCCCCCCCCCCCCCCCCCCCGCCCCCAAACCCAGAACCTCGGGTACGAAGGAAGTACCTGTCACCGTCCCGGACACCATCACCACCTGGGAGACTGAGGCCTTCTGCCTGTCACAGCAGGGTTTTGGCCTGGCTCCCCCCAAAGAGCTGGTAGTCTTCCAGCCCTTCTTCCTGGAGCTCAGCCTCCCCTACTCCATCATCCGAGGGGAGAACTTGGAGCTGAAGGCTACTGTCTTTAACTACCAAAGCAGCTGTTTAATGGTAAACCAACAATCCTTTACTTTAACAGAAGTCACATGTATTTACTTATACTGTAATGTACAGATGTGGGAGGATAGTATATGAATTGTTTTTATTTATTAATACTATTATTTATTTCTGTAATGTACTCATTAAAAGCTAATCATACTCATGATTATATTTGAAGATATGATAAATATATTGGCTAAGATCATAGTGATGAGGATTTAATTTTCTTCTTACTGTCAGCTCTATCAAACTAAAACCAATAATCCAGATTTGATGCCGGTCTTATTTCGCTTCAGCCATGCTTTCCATAACAGAGGGACATGTGTCTGTTCTCATCGGCAGGTGAGCGTGAGCCCTGCCTTCTCTTCAGACTACACCCTCACACCCCTCGCCGAGGACCAGCAAGCCTCCTGCCTGTGTGCCCAGGGCCGCAGGACTCACAGCTGGAAACTGACCCCCACAGCCCTCGGTGAGGGTTAAAAACACAGTAGTCTCAATATTACATAGACATAGTCAAGTGAACCATGTGTGTTTGTTTGCTATATCCGTGCTGTATCTTTGTATCTGTAGGGCCTGTGAACGTGACCATGATTGCAGAGGCAGTGGGTTCCCACACCTCATGTGACAACGAGATCGTAAACGTTCCCGAGAGAGGCCGCATCGACGTGGTCACGCGTTCTCTCATCGTGAAGGTGATGTTTACACTGTTGGTGAAATGGTTATTTCTGAAATGGTGGAAGATTTGTGTGTATGTATCTCATCTTGTATTTTTCTCATCCTCTTCTTTTTAGGCAGAGGGAACAGAGCAGACCAAGACCTACAACGTCTTGCTCTGTCCAAAAGGTCAGTGTGAACTTCTAATATAATTTAATTATCATAAAACGTCTACACATTTTTATTTTGTCTATTCATTTAATCTGTTTATTTCTTTAGTTTTTATATATTTATCAATTGAATGTGGTTATATTACATATATGAATGTTTAGATTTTACACTTTTCAGCTCTGCATAGCCTGTACATTTGTGAGTTAACTTACATTACTTTACGACATTGCATTACTCTAACCCTAACCCTTTGTTACATTTTTTCCGTCTGGTGTTTCCAGTCCATTCCTGTATATGCGTAATCATATTATGAATGTGAATCTATTGTTCATACCTAGGAGAGAGTCTTCAGGAGCAGGTGGAGCTCAGCCTACCCGAAGATGTGATCCAAGGATCTGCCCGAGCTTCAGTATCAGTCCTGGGTAAACTTTTTACTGAGCAGGTTGGAGGCTGCTTTATCAACCATGCCCAATAGGAAGAAGACCACTGTGACTGTGTGTCTGTGAAATGATTCAGAGAACAGAAAACAAGCAGAACAATTAAACAGACACATTAAATGGTTCAGCAGTAGTCAGGGGAGAGGACGCCTAGTGGTCAGAGTGTTTGGCTCCTAGCCAAAAGGTTCTGAGTTCGAACCCCAATATCTGCAGTCAACCTGTAGACTGCCGTCCCTGCTTGTTAATAACATGTATCTGAAAAAACCTGAGTCTCTCTGGATAAAAGCATCTGCTAAATAGATGAATTTCGTGCAGGTGACATCTTGGGCCGAGCCCTCAAGAACCTGGACGGTCTGCTGAGCATGCCGTATGGATGTGGAGAGCAGAACATGGCTCTACTTGCCCCCAATATTTACATCCTGGAGTACCTAACCAACACACAGCAAATCACTCCCGAGATCAAGGCCAGGGCCACCAACTTCTTGACCAGTGGTAAGTCTCCTATGTAAACCTGCTCAAATTATGTGTGCAACCAACTAAATTAAAAACGTGATGTGTGGCAGTGAGTACACAAAGTTTGCATTTCAATATGTTTGTAATTTTCCCTTTTTGGCTTAATGATATGTATACTATTGTGCATAGCTGTGTATAGTGTTGGTAATAAAATGATGTGTGTAATCCACAACTGTATAACAAACTATTTTAATTTCACAAAGGCTACCAGAGGCAGCTGAACTACAAGCACTCAGATGGAGCTTACAGCACATTTGGAACTGGATCTGGGAATACCTGGTAAGACTTGGTAGACTTTGAATTAGACATGAATTATTTAAATCTTGACGTCAATGAACCATAGGTAAGAAAAATAATGAGCAACTGACTACCTTTGGTCACTATTCATCAGGCTCACAGCGTTTGTGCTGAGATCTTTCGTCAAAGCAAAGTCTTTCATCTACATCGACCCCACCGTCATAGCGAACGCAAAGTCTTGGCTGGAGAGCAAACAACAAGACGACGGCTGCTTCGAAAAGTTGGGCAGTCTGTTCAACAACAGAATGAAGGTACAGACATGGAAGCTTCTCTCTTACTATGCTTTACTGTGGAGAGGCTAGAAAGGCTTCTTTATGTTTGGGACAGATTTTAGTTTTGTTGAAACTGATTAGGAGATTTGAAGTTAGAAAGTGGACGCCCATTTTAGTGTGCATTTTTAGACATACGCTTTAACAACAGGTTTTAAATGGATCACACAGACTGTCATTGCTTTGCTTCACAGGGAGGCGTCTCAGACAAAGTCACTCTCTCTGCGTATGTGACGGCCGCTTTGTTGGAGACCAATATGTCTGCTTCTGTGAGTATTGACTCTTTCAAGCACTGATTGAATAGATTACCATAACATTATACGAGGGATAACAACTTAGATAAATGTAATTACATGATTACATTGAAAGGATCAATGTTTGAATTCCATGTAATGAGCTATTTAATACAAGGAATGGAGATAGTACAGTATACAGATACTGTATATCAGGCGTCCCCAAACTACGGCTCGCGGGCTGCATACGGCCCGCCTCCACATTTGGCTCGGCCCCCTGAACAATACCAGAGACGCATTATAATTTCCTGGCCACGCGAACCCTAGACTCAGGCCCGGCTCTACCTAATGTAGCGCCCTAGGTGAGATTACTCTCTGGCAGGACGGTTGACGGGGGCGGGGGGGGGCGCGCAATCGTAACACCCCCCCGGACCTACGACCGAAGGGGGGGGGGGGTTAGCATCCCGGAAAGGGTTATTAATATTTGGTTATGTGTGGCTTTCTGGGAAAAATATAAATGTTCCATCAGAGAAGGGAAAAGTTATGTGGCCCTCACAGGAAAAAAGTCTGGGGACCCCTGCTGTATATGATATCAGCACTGGTGAAAAATTCAAGGTTCAGAAAATTCAAGGTTTGAGTAAATCACATTGTTTTGACTTTACCGGTTACAGGAACCACAGATAAACGAAAGCATGTCATGCCTGAGGCAAAGCCTTGGTGATAAGAGCAACACGTACACCACGGCTCTGCTGGCGTATGTCTTCACCCTGGCTGGAGACATGGAGACACGGACTCTGCTGCTGGAGCACCTGGACAAGGTGGCCACACAGGAAGGTCAGAGGACTTTCAAAGGCTCCATTGCTTCCCCTATACGTCAGCAACCCCTTATGAAGACACAGAATAGATGAGCTGGGCTAGTTGTCGCTGGTTGTCTTGGTCAGCACATGTTACAGAAGAGGATGGAAATCGAGGCCTGGGGTGGGTGAACAGGGAATAAATTGTTGAAAACCATCCATCCATTTTCTTGCCGCTGATCCAGGTCCGGGTCACGGCGGCAGCAGGCATAACAGGGCAGACCAGTGCTTCCTGGGGATTTCCGCTGTTAACAAACCCATGTACCAAATGTTTTAATCTGACCTTTTGCATACTTTGATACCATAAACAAAACAAAGACGAGGCATGTCAACCTTTATTGGCCCCAAGTTGATCCTGGGTATGTGTTTTCCTCAGGTGGTAACCTCTACTGGTCTCAGAGCTCTGAGAAGTCCATGTCCCTGTCCGTGGAGATCAGCTCCTACGTGCTGCTGGCAACTCTCAGTGCCACGCCCACCACTGCTGACCTGGGCTACGCCTCACGCATCGTCAGGTGGCTCACTAGCCAGCAGAACTCCTACGGAGGCTTCTCCTCCACACAGGTACCGGGCCTATAAGGGGAAGCCCTGCTCTCGAGTCCTGCTCTATAGGGGGAACTATGTCCCTGGTCTATAGGGGGAACACAGCACCTGCTCTATAGGGGGAACACAGCTCTATAGGGGGAACACAGCACCTGCTCTATAGGGGGAACACAGCTCTATAGGGGGAACTATGTCCCTGTTCTACAGGGGGAACCCAGCACCTGCTCTATAGGGGGAACACAGCTCTATAGGGGGAACACAGCACCTGCTCTATAGGGGGAACACAGCACCTGCTCTATAGGGGGAACACAGCTCTATGGGGGGAACACAACACCTACTCTATAGGGGGAACACAGCTCTATAGGGGGAACACAGCACCTGCTCTATAGGGGGAACACAGCTCTATAGGGGGAACGCAGCTCTATAGGGGGAGCGCAGCACCTGCTCTATAGGGGGAACACAGCACCTGCTCTATAGGGGGAACGCAGCACCTGCTCTATAGGGGGAACACAGCTCTATAGGGGGAACGCAGCACCTACTCTATCAGGGGAATTCAGGTCCTACTGAATGAAGACCCTACAGCTTCTCTCTTCCAATACAACCACAGATGTTCCACTCAAAAAATCACTCAGCAGATGTACCAGCGTGGTTAGGCTTGTATCCTAGCGACCGGTTACCGGTCGCTTGGATACATGTATATTGGATAAAGATGTAAAAGTACAACAAGTAAAGATCTGTGCCAAACAGTCAATTGACCGATTGATTCATAGCTTCCCCTTAAGCTACCACAAACCAAAGCTATATTGTTGTTTTTTGCAGGACACGGTGGTAGCGCTGCAGGCCCTGGCTCTTTACTCCACGCTGGTGTTCAGCCCAGAAGGCTCCAGCACTGTGGATGTCCAGTTCCCCAGCGGCCAGATGACCTTTGAAGTGAACCAGGACAACAAACTGCTTTACCAGGAGAGGGCGCTGAAGGACGTGATGGGGAAATACAGCGTGGAGGTGAAAGGCACAGCATGTGCCTCCATGCAGGTTAGCATTTAGCAGATCAGCTTTCGCTTGGGCTTTGTCCCAGTCCAAATGAGCATATACTTAAGGAGCACACCCCCACCTCCCCCGTCCCCCTGAGCTCCTGGGACGACCTGTCTAGCAGGCAACATTACATATTCATGCATCAAGAACACATAAACACTTTAAATATCTTCTGTTGCGTTGTGCTTTTCCAGTTGTCTCTTCACTACAACATCCCAACGCCAAGCGATGAATCCAGCTTCCGGATCAAGGTCACACCTGAGGCTGAATGCAACACCAACCAGCTGAGGCCTAAACTCACCCTGAGGCTACAGTCCACGTAAGTTAGCCAGGGTTAGATTTAGGCTGATCTTCTCATCATAATTCATTTAGACTACAATACTGGTATCACGATAAGTTGATATCTTTATTTTGTGATCATATAATACTCTGACAGACAATAAACCATAATAATAGTTGCACTGAATACAACCACACACTACTTTGATCCCCAACAGATATGTGGGAAAGGAGGATTCTACCAACATGGTGATGGTGGATATTAAATTGCTGTCTGGATTTGTTCCTGATCCAGAGTCTTTGAGAGAGGTGGGTAACCAAACCTTGATGTTATCACTATGTGCTGGGGATTTTCAGGGTGTCTTATTTTTAATAAATCTATTTAATGTCATCTCCTCTCCTCACAGCTCAAGTCTGCACTGCTGGTGGATCGCGTTGAACATAACGATGATCACGTCATCATTTACTTGAAGCCGGTGAGCACACCCACATGCACTAGAAACACATACCATTACATATATAAATTTAAGATACATAGTGGTGAGGTGGAACATCCACGTACAATTTTTAATGACATGGTCACATGGTCTCCATGTGTCCACACCGTTACTGACCACACTGTGCTTTCTGTCCACAGTTCCCCAGTCATGTGCCCATCAACCACAGCTTAGACATCCTGCAGGACATTGAAGTGGAGAACCTGAAGCCAGCTGTGGTCAAGATCTATGATTACTACCAGCCAAGTAAATGGAGAGAAAATAGAGAGAAAGATCATTTTACCAAAAGGAAAAAAAGAAAGTAAATGTAAAAGATTGATCTTGTGTAATGGTTGTCCATTTTTCTACACAGGTGACCAGGCTGAGACACAATACAATTACTGTACTGCAGGTAACTATTTGGAATAAAGGATATGCGTCAATATACACATGTGCTGTACATATATGTACAGCACACTGTGTACTAGGGGTGTGACGAAATATCACACCACGAAATGAAAACGTGACGATACGCGTCGTGGATCTTAAAAAAATGCATCGCGAAACGAACATGACTCATTCACTTCACATTAATCTCTATAAACAGGTATCTGCATATGAATGAAACGAATATGACTCATTCACTTCACATTAATCTCTATAAACAGATATCTGCATATGAATGAAACGAACATGTTCTCATGCACTTCACATTAATC